GACAGGAGAGGAAGTGTCGGCAGGGGAAGGGGGGAAAACCCAGGAAATGTGGGGGGGGGGGGGGGAGGGGGAGTGAGCGAGGAGCTGTGTGGTGCTCAGTTGCCAACTGAGGTTAAACCTCGACAACCTCCCTATCTAAATATGTGGTTTATAAGATCTCTTGTCATAGATGTCATGAAACAGGACATGAAAGTGATTATTCTTTGAAATGTCTAGAAATAATTATATGTCTTTCTTCTGACACTTTGTGTCTTCTTTGTGCAGATCATGGGAGGAGGAGAGCTACCTGGGCTTTTGGTAAATGAAATTGGTGGCATACGTGGGATACTGCATGGCCACATAGCATTCCTGAAGAAACATTTCTACCTCATCACCATGAAGGAATTTCTTGAAAACAGAAAGCATATGAGCAAAAAGGTCCAAGCAATCTATTTGTGGTGGCACAAATCAGTCATTGACCAAGAGCTCCTCCAGAGCCTGCCAAACTTGAAAGTGATTGCAAATTCAGGAGTAGGGATGGATCACCTGGATCTGAAACTTGTGGCTAGCTTTGGTGTGAAGGTGGCTAATGCTCCATGTGATGTTTCTGGCAGCACAGCAGATACTGGGATGGCTTTGCTGCTGGCATCTGCTAGAAGACTAGTGGAAGGTAACATCTCAATTCTTTTGTGGCTTCCAAAAATCATACAAGATTTACCTACCATTAACTTGACTTTTCCTAGAGTTACCTGTAGTTCACATAGTTACACATAAAATGTGGAAATCTAAATATGTTGAGTTGGCAAATAGAATAATCGGTATTTTCATATATTTTATATAGCATAAATATATCTAAATTATTACAGCATACACAAACATACATAGCATATATTTCAACCAGGTATAAATAAAATCATATGAGTTTGTTTTTCACAGGTCGCCAGCCTGGGTTGAAAATACTTGAGCAGAATCTAATCACATTTGATTCAAATACAACTTTTTGCTTTATGGACAGGCCTTGGTCTTAGAAGCTGGAGTTTAGTTTTTAGAATAAATATGGCTGTAGACTTAATTTAACAGTTTCAGATGAACAACACACTGAAATGTGCTTCCTACATATGAAAACTTTGAATTTCATTACCTTCTTCAGCAGCACATTTTCAGTGACTGACATTTGGCTGACATAAGATGTGCTTCTTGATGTGATGGTGTTACAGTGCTATTGACCAAAAGCGGGGGATGCCAAAGATCAGACGATCGCTGCAATCACAGGCTGGCAGAAGAAATTAGAGTGTGGGAGGCAGCAATGGAGCAGAATAAGGGTATGTGCTGAAAGCTGGGGCTGACAGAGGCATGGGCATATTCTCAGGGACTGAAATGGATTGGTGCAGAATTGGGGAATTTAAGGAGCGTTAGAGAGCAACAAGGCAGGCTGCTCCAGTTTCTGATGGTAGCATCCTTTCTAGTTTCTTCCACAATTTTTTCTTGCCATTCCCCAAATAGAGCTACCCTTGGCTTGGTTAGAATGCCTGCTGCTTCAGGAAAAGATCCTCCAGATTTATCCTATTAAATTTACCTGCCTTTGATTTGCCAGCTGTACCACAGGATTCATAGAAACTCAAAGGAGATTTGTCTCCCCCTAAATCTGTTTCTACCTCACAAGGAGGAGACAGATTAAAAGGGAGATTAATTTCTTGTTCCCATCTACATAAACTATCCCTGGTGGCATTTCTGATAGCTCTGCCCTGGCATGACTGAGTTTTATCCTGAGGCATTTTTTGATACTTTCACAGTATTCTGCTTATGTTTTAGAAAAGCTGGCAATATTGGAAGACTGAAATATCAGAATCCTGTCACCTTGCTAGCAGACTAGTAAGTGCTGTCTCTGTGCATATAAATTTATTTTCTGTGTTGTAGAACCATCCAAAATTTTGCAGGTTTAACAGATAATTATGGAAATTACCAAGTAGTGATTTTTAAAGAAGTCACACTTTTCTTTCCAAGGAGAGTAGCAGAGGTGAACAGGAAACCTGTTCTTACTCTAAATAGCAAAACCAACATCTGGTGTTATTCTCCACGTGACGTTTCCAAACTCTGCAGTGTTACTGGCAATAATTATTTTGATTGTTGATGCAGAACTGGGCAATATTTTTATGAGTCTAAAGCAGCAGAAGGATTTTTAGGGGTGATTACATCAAAAGGCTTTTTGTAGTATGGTGAGAATAAATGGGAATGTCACATACATGTGGCAGGGAAGGATGGTATATTAGGGAGTCACCTAGGACATTACAAAAACCATTGCTGTTTAAAATTGTCTGTAACTGTTAAAAGTGTGCTATAGTAGCACAACAAGCCCAGACTCTTTTGCCTTGTTCCTTTGTGTTGGACGCCATTCATTTCTCATATTGGAGTGTTTTTCTTGCAGGCTATCACGTTGCAATTTCTTCGGGTATGGAGTATTGTGAAGCTGATTTTCTGGGAGTTGAAGTTACTAGAGCTACTCTGGGGATCATTGGCATGGGCAGCATTGGGTAGAAGATTGCTCTGAGAGCCAAAGCGTTTGAAATGAACATTTTGTACCACAACAGGACATGGAGGTAAAATGTCTTGACTCTAATTACAGAAGAAACTCCCTTTTAGATAGTCAGTATTTCCTTTTCAAGGAATTATGTCAGGAATATAGCAAGAAATGAGGGAATAGGGCCAAGATTAAAACGAAAGAAAAAAAAAATGAACATTTTGTACCACAACAGGACACGGAGGTAAAGAGATGTCTTGACTCTAATTACAGAAGAAACTCCCTTTTAGATAGTCAGTATTTCCTTTTCAAGGAATTATGTCAGGAATATAGCAAGAAATGAGGGAATAGGGCCAAGATTAAAACGAAAGAAAAAAAAACGGTTGCCTCAAATCAGTCTTGTAAGGAGTTACTTGGTGACTAAACACTTGGAAACTTAATCTAGGTTTTATATTAGAAATTCTAAGGTTTCCTGGAGATGTGAACAGAAGAAGGAAAATCAATCTTGTACCTTTTTTATTCTTATCATATCTTACTATAGTGACACATAACTTTTTACCTTTTGTTTATTTTTTCTCCATATTTTGAAGCTCAGGAGT